AAGAGACTGCCTTCATCTGAGGTAGCCACATGATCTGTCCCCACAGCAATCCTGGATTGCCATTGCCCCTGCAATGCTAACGGCTGTTGCTGGCTGATCACATGTAGTACAAACTCTGCCACATCATGTTGTGAGGCTGGCCTAGACCAGTCTCTCAGCAGCCGACGCCACGAAGCAAGTCTGGAGATGGTGTTATTAATGGGTCCATAGAGAATGTCTCTCCAGGCCTGCTGATGGTGCCCAAAAAGCTGAGCATCAGGAGCCTGCAAAAGACAACGGGTCCATAACCAGGACATTGCAAAGGAGTTGATGTAGCACTGCTGATTGGGATTGTTGAGGGCCAGACTCAGTAATCTCCCAGCATCTTCTGAATGTCTGCCGCCAAATTGCAGCGTTGGAGTCCATCTCTGCGGAGCTGCATCCCTACAACTTGTAATGCTGCAAGATTCTGAAGCTTCTCCAAGCCCAGCCAAACCTCCGCAACACCTTGTGCCCTGAGGCCGACTTCCAGCAGGAACCGTGAGGTGCCCTTCTGGTCTGGCGTGATCGGGTGTGTGGCGTTGAACCGATGAATCACATCCTTGGCTCTGACAGCGGTCGCCAAGGCTCCTAGGAGCCCCACCAATTCCTGATGCTCCATTGGCGAGCGGCTCTCGTCCACGATCAGAGCCTGAATCGAAGGGTCCCAACGCTGATATGCCCATCTGCCCTCCTGGTTCATCCAGCCCTTGGCCTGCACCACCTTTGTCTGCTCGGGGTGGGTTCCCACAGCTTGAATGCATTGAAGGACCGTCTGGAACAATGTGCTCAGAAGCTGGGCACGTAAGGGCAGGTCCATTCGCTTGTTCTTGGATTCCTCCCTGTAGGTCGACGAGGCTTTGAAAAGCATTGGGATGGGACCCTGAGGTCCGGGCTGCAGATAGAGATCCCAGGCAGAGTTCTGCTTGAGAACCTGAATGCTGGTTTCCTGTCTCAGGATGAGGCGCCCCATGGCTTTGATCAAGGCCTGTTCCTGTCTGAGGTTCGGGCCTCTGCCCCCCCTGTCCAGCTGGCTTCCAAAGGAGGAGCAGGTTGGATTGCCTCCTCTTGGCCTCTGCCTCTTCCCCCCCCCTTCCAGCTTGGCGACTTTGTTCGGCAGATTTTGTCGGTCCTGGTCCAGATTGGCACTCTCCATCAGTGCAGCTCCGAAGGCCGCTGCTTGAGTGGTTGCCAAATCCCCGAAGATTTCTGCATGTTGCTGATCCGGAGTTGTCATCGAGCTGAGTATCTGGTGCAGAACGACCAGTAGCAGCAAGGCAGAACTGCCAGAGCACAGAGCACTGCTGTTTGTGATGGCGGGGCTGCTTAGTCTGACTACCACAGTAAATACAGGGGCTACCACTTCCCGGAAATCGTTTGCTCTGAGAGAGGGCCATAGCATTATGCTGAAAGATCTCTGGATGACTGCCCTTGTAATGAAGCTTAACAAGTTTGGGCGTGGCCAACCATTGTCCACAGAGCAGACAACGTTGGAGATACTGGGACCTATTCGGGACTCGCATGATGAAGTTAACTCCATGTGCAGCTAGCAGTCGGAGCATGTCCGGGTGATGCATCAGCTTGATTCCTGCCACAACTTGAGGACCGGCTGTGGGCAGAGACAGTTGTGAGGCTTCGGGAGTTGTCTCAGGTTTACTAGGACAGTGATTCCCCTCAATGTGTCGAGCGAGCAGCTGCCACGTGGGAAAGCATTTTTTGCAATATCGACACTGTGGCAGGCCATCGCAGGAGTCCTGAAGTTTAGAAAAACGCGGCACTACAGACTGAGCGTTCTGGGCATCAGCATGTTGCTTAGCAATGTGCGTTTTGAGGGCCGACTTGGTGCTGTAGGAGACGCCACAATTGGGGCATACATGCGCCTCTGAAAGTGATGATTCCAGTTTCACCAGTGTTTCTGAGAGTTGACTGCAGAGACTACGTTCAACTGATGCCCACCAGGTGTGTGCTGGGCTGCACACAAGATCATCAGGCGGCCTCATAGCATGTCTGCGACTCTCAGCTTGCATGAGCTGCTGCAAGACGACATTGGGAGGAGGTTGTCCTGCCTGTCGGCAGACCTCGTCGTTTGTCGTCGTCGTTATGTGCACCGGTAGCTTGAGGATTGCCCGCAGTTGCTTGATCATCGCTACATTACGGATCCTTATTCCAGTCTCATGCAACCCACACGCAGTCAAGCCGTAGGATACCGTCGTCCAAATGCATGATCGCCAAAGGTGAAGCCTTTGACCCTGGGTCAAGTGATGACGGCCTTTCAGCACCGCACCGAGGCGATGGTAGCACGCTTCTCCTTTCGCCAATCGGCTTGTAAGGGTCTGTTGCTCAAAGCAAGAGTAGCTTACTTGAGTACCCAGATACGTAAACTGGCTAACAAGCGGTATGCAGAAGGCCTGGTGGCGGGATTGAATCCGTAGTACCTGTCCTGAACCATCTTGGGCCGGACGCACATACTTTTTGCGAACTGTATTGCTAAGCGTCCCACGCAGGGCCAGAATGGCTTTGGATTTTCCAGCCGACACCTCCATGCCAAATGCAGTCAGGACATGAAAAAGAACAGCCACAACTTCAAGGAGTTGTTCAAAGGCAACGAGAGAAGTAAAGGCATCTGCCAGGTGGTAATCGTCGGCAAAAATGGTGAGGATTCGCAGGACCGTGTCTCGACCAACTTTGGCCTCCAGTGCACAGCTTACTTCATGGGAGAAGATGAGCCAAAGCAGGGGTGCGACAGAGCATCCCTGGCGAATGCCTTGAGAGGCACGAAAAGTCCTTTGATCAGCTGCATGCCTAATGGTGTATCTGATTTCAGCATGCCAGGCCATGAGTGTGTGTATGAGGTCCTGTGGCAGGTCCAGCCGACACATGCCTGCGTAGAGTTTGCTCCTGGGCATCCTGTCGAATGCTTGGGTGAGATCAACCGTAAGCATCAGGGCCCCAAACAGAGGCACAGGCTTGTGCCCTTGATAGCGCTGGTGAAGGTTTCTGGTGCGCTGCCTGAGTTGGTGACGTACTGCAGCACAATGTGCAAAAACTCTACGGAGCGCATCATATTGCGATCGTCCCTGTTGATAAGCAAACTGAGGAAATCGCTTGATGTGTTGCAGTATGCCGGGAATGTACGGTTGCACCAGTTGGCCAAGAACCTTTTTACCTAAGGGACAGGCTAGACCTATAGGTCTGTAGTCTTTAGGCAGCCTTCTAGACTTCTCAGGCTTGGGCACCAAGGCAAGATCCACATCTGTCCAGCATCGAGGGACCTGTATGGCAGAGGTGGTCCAGGCAGCTTGGAGAGTGGTAACCAGCCATGGGGAGATGAGGTCAGCACACAGTCTCCAGGCAGCACTCGGGGGGTGACAGTATGGCACCGCCTTGCGACGGGGTACAGTCTGAATGGCACGACACAGGTCCTGTGCATCCAGTGTGAGGTTGTCACTTCCCGGCCAGGCACGTTGCATAAGGTTCTGATCCGCAGCATCCTGGGCCGTGAAGCGATGCTGGAAGTGCTGCTGCAGAAGCTGAAGTTCTTCCTGGGGCAGAAGCATGGTACCACCTTCACCACGGAGTTGCATGCGCCTGCGGTCCTGTTTGGGAGCAATCCGTTTGATGATCTGGTAGATGCCTCTAGCATTATGTTGGGCAGCATGTGCCTCTGCTTCTTGCATGGCTTCAAGCAGTACAGCACGTCTCGCGGCCTTGCATCTTCGTTGATGTTCTCGATAGCACACATCGAAGGCTTTCCAGGCCTTCAAGGCCTGAAACCATCCTCGGAGTCCTTGTTTGCGTACCTGTTTGAAGGCACGCCATCTCTGCCACATGTCTTTGATGCCTACCTGCACCTGATCAGTCTGCCACGGAACTCGGCGGGGTTGTGCTGGGGCTCTAGGAAAGACTTTGCAGCAAGCCTGGTAGAGCACAGCATGCAGGCTCTGGATTCCATCAAGTCCCTGCTGGGCTGAGATGTGTGCGGAGACAGCTTGCCTGACCAACGCAATCTTGCAGAGGTGTGCTGGCTCGGTGGGTCGGTCCAAGGGTGCAAGTAGAGCCTCCTGGTCAACACATGGAGGCGGCTTGGGACCTGAGCGAATCCAGTGAGGCCTGCCTGTTGGGAGCAGACATTGCAGGGGTATGTGGTAAGCCCCACCTTTGCGAGCAGCACCAACATGGAACTGATGTAGCAGCTTAACCTGTCTGGCTGTTGTGGCAGCATCTCCCTGCTTGGTGAGCACAAAGTCAATCTGAGTGCGAGCCTTTCCCCAGGAGAATGTGTGGGAGCCACCTGAAGCGGGGTACCAGGTATTAAGGGCCACTAGATTGTGTGCGCGAAGCATGGTCTCTAGTTCCGCCACATCTTCAGGAGGATTGGCTGGCATGACTCCTACCTGCTTGCCTATCAAGGGCTCCATAGGTTGGAGGGGAGTGTTAAAGTCTCCCATAAGGACAACCGAATCTCTAACTGGGAGCTGCCCCAAGCATTTATGGATTGCTTGCCAAACTTGCTGCCGCTGCTGCGGAGTGGTCTTATCGTTGTTCTCATGGGTTTTCTGGTAAACGCCAAGAATATGCAAGTGTCGATGGTCTGAGGTGTTGAGTGGGACCCTGACATGTATCAATCGGCCCTTGACCAAGTGTTCAAAGCGGATTTGAGATGGCAGGGCAAGTTTGGTGTGCACCATGACCAGAACCCCAGCATGTTTTCTGGATTTGCATCCTGTGTGCACACAAGTCCAAGGCCCACTTGTGTATTCCATACAGGCCGTCCACTTACTTTCTTGCACCACAGCAATGTCCACACTGGAGTTAGTGAGGTAAGTCAGGAGTTCATCGTACAGACCACCGCCTAACCCCCCTGAGTTCCACGTGAAAAGCTGAACACCACTAACTTTAGAGTTTCTGAGTTTCAGGGCCGGGTTGTTTGGGGTGGCCAAAGGCTGTGTTCTACGACGAGAAGCTGGGAACTGGGCTGACGTGAGAAGTCTGCCACGGTATCTGGTCTGACCTTGTTGCGCTGCTCTATCACATGCTCGTTGATACGCTCGTTTGGCGCTGCGTGTATAACGCACATTGAGCATCGGACGATTCATTGTGGGGAAGCCGCCTGGCTTCGATGCTGAAGCAAGGAGGTCTGATGTGAAATGAGTTGCACCTCCTGCAACCTCGGCGGCGTGGGTTGCAACCCTCGCTTCTGTCCACAGACCTGCACATGATGGCTGCATACAGAGGATGAGAATCAAGGTTCGCATGTGCAAGGTAAGCAGACCCCGGGAATTGGGACCCGGGCGGCTCTTGAGTTCTGGCACAGGGCTTTGAAGGCAGACTGGCAAAGGGCCTGCATGGGTAACACAGGCTGAGCCAAGGAGTGAAGCATAAGTGATCTTGCGTCCCAGCAGACAGGCCTGGGTCCAGCTGAGGCTGAGCTTGGTAACGATCCTGCCAAGGAGGTAACTGGGATATGCAAGGTACCCTGTTGGGTGGGCCAACAAAGCTGCATGGGCCTCGGCATCGTGTTGCACAGAGGAGATGGATGGAGGCGAAGGGTACCTGCACCACGGCTGTGTGGGGACGTTTGCAGCCCGTGCTGGGCTGTGGCTGCTTGTAGGCACTGGTGCACTCAGCAGAGTAGGCAGCTGCAAGCTCGGCCAAGTATTTTCGGCACACAGTCTCGGAAGAGTCCCAGGTCTGGCCCTGGCAGGCTGCATATTAGCAGAGCAGAGTGGCCGAGCCGGCACAATCGGCCACCACTGTGGTCTGTGCTTTGAGCACGGGTCCAACACAGATCGCCCTAGCAGGATGGGTGCTGGCTGGTTCACCTGAGCATATGTGTGTTGCAAGACATGGACAGGGCCAATGTGACACTTTGTCAGCTAAGGACAACAACATATGTTTGCATCCCTGCTTTGTTTCCCATCTCCCCCACCTGTCCGTTGATGGTGGTCGACGCCTTCTGGATCGTGAGCGAGATGCTGTTCTGGGACTGGAGCTGGATCGCGGTGGCGAGAGTGTGGGCGACGAGGGTCGACGACTCCCACTGGCTGGCTCTCCTGATCCCATGGCGCCCCTGGCTGCAGCTCGTCGTCGACGAAGTTCAGCTTTGGTCTCTTCAAGACATGCTTCCGCAGCTGTGAGGTCAAACTGCACACCGTCACATTCATAAAAACCTTCGCGGTGATGGGGAGGATCCCAGGTCGGGTCATGGACTGTGTGCTCATCTGCTACGTCATCATCCTCTGCGACGGCCGAGTCTTCTTCCTCTCCAGTTTCCATGCCTTCCATAGGGCCTAGGCCCGCTGCTGGATGGGGAGGCTCAAAGAGGTCGCTGCTCACATCCTGAAAGTCGATGCGCTCCCCTGTAGTGGTTTCCTCGTTGGCCTCTTCCAAGACGAGTCGAAGTGATCGCCACGTGTGCAGTTCGCGGAGGGTGGCAGGAGCTTCAAGGTATATGGGTCCCGTCAGCTGAAGGTGGTGGAGCACTGTGTGCACCAGGCTCCGTCTCCATCTAGCTCCTGAGCTAGATCCCTCCCCTGGCATAACCCCAGGAAGAGCACGTGGGGGGAGTACTGCTGTGCCATCTGGCCAGGTGTGGAGGCGCATCGGCAAGGGCGGCGGCGGTCCGAATGGACCGGGTCCCCGGTCCCTGCTCGGACTACGGTCTGCTGCATCACGGGCTGCCGTCAACGTGGAGTAGTAGGATCCAGCCTCTGAGCCAGCTTCCGAGCCAGCTTCTGCCACAGCATTGGCTTCACAGTCTTCGGCTGCTCCATCCATGTCTAGTGCCTCCTCGAGGACGCTATCATGTAGCGGGTCCCGGTCCGCATGGTCCATGCTATGGCTTTGGCCAGGCCAAAGCCAGTTGTGCTTGCAGGTTGGGGACCTAAACCCTATGACACAGGACGAGGAGAGGGCAGCGCAGAGGGTCCTATAGCAGAAGCCCCTAACTAGATTAGCTTGGCATTGTACCCCAGGCGGTAGCCAGTTCGGGTCGGTTGGCACTGACAAGCAGCATTTGAGCTGACACTCCTGTCGGGATTGGCAAGTTTGCCTCTGAAACCTGCAATGAATCCAGCAGAACCCTTGTCGACACAGCAAGGCGCACCGTGTCCCGGAGAGGGTGCCGAAGAGGGTAGAGGCAAGCAACTTCCGAACCTGCAGTAGGCGTGGTTTTGGCTTGCTTCTTCGATACCGTCTGATTCGCTGGGCCTGCCGTTTTAGCTTGCTCTGCTTGAACCATCTACCTGGACACCATCGATCAGAGAAAAGTTGCGGGTAGTGCCAGGTTGGGGACGGTGTAAGGTCCTGGCTAATCCAAGGTATGCAGGGCCGTGCTACAACAGCAGAGCTTTCCAATATTCCATGGCGTCCATAACTCGTGCGCCAAGGCTGGATAGGTACATCGGCACCAATGCTGCACTCCCATAAGATCAGGTGCATATAGAGATGCTTTGGCCGCTTGCTCCACTTGTTCGGGATCTTGATTGAACCAATGTTTCTCAAAGTCATCAAAGTACCTGTGGTTCTGTCGATATCCGCCAGCCTTGTCGAACATGGCCAGCAGCACCATACGCAGGAATTGCTGTCTGACTTGGCGATCGGCTCTAAGTTCAGTCGCACGGGTCCGGCAAACGGAACAAGCCAAGGGTCGTGCTGACAGGTGCCGGTCATGTATCTTGTTGCAGCCGTGCAGATAACCCAGAAAAAGCGGAGCAACATCCATGGCACTAGTGCTGCCCCAGCCCCACGCAGCACAGCAGTTTTGCTTCGAGTCCCCGGGCCTTCTAGCGGGCGGACGTTCGAATGTGAGGCCCCACAGGTTGTGGCATCGCCCCTCACAGCAAAGAGAGCCGAGAAGCTTCTACTACTACTACTACTACTACTACTACTGCTACTACTACTACTACGCCCTGAACCTTACACCCAAAACACACCAAGAAACCTAAAGACCCTAAACCCCGAAGCCTGAACCCCAAGCCCTCAACCCCAAA